CTCTCTCGCTCTCTCTCTCTCTCTTTTTCTTTCTCTCTTGCGCGCGCTCGTTCTTTTCCTCTCTGTTGCTTTTTTCCTATTCACCAACGATTTCGTTGCTCGAGCCTTTACGCCACATCATGAAAACGAAGCGATCTGACTGGATCGTTTTAATGGCTCGCTTTCAAAGTGTCTCGCCGGGTTCTTCGGCTATGTCTTTCAGCTCGATCTCCTCGTCGAAGATCTTTACATCTTTCACGAAATACCAGACACCCACATCAAACAACGTGCCGATCGTTACGAAGCCTGTGAAAAGAAAAGCGTAAAATTAATGAAGCTCCTGCGTGAAATATTATCGTCTTTTATAACGGACGACCTAAATTGACGATGTGATGCGTTTGAGCGGAATATGGATAATTGAATCAATCGCATTTTGTGCGATGACGTTTATTTAAGAAAGATAAAAGTGGGGCTGGAGTAGGGAATTGTGTTCATCTATTAAATTTAAATTTAAAGTAAATTTAAGATTATGAATAAAATAAAAATGTTAAATAACTTTGAAATAAGATCATAAATAAAATAAAAATTTTAAATGACTTTAAAATAATATTGTAAATGAAATTTTAGTTTTAAATCATTTCAACACTTTCTCAAAATGAGCGAATGAAGCTATTTGTCACAATAGATCTTAAAAGTACCAATTTTTCAAAAAATGGCAATTACCTACATTGACAAATGATAGTTTTTTTTTAAATCGTGAGCTTTTAATTTAATAAAGACTATGACAAATTCCAAAAAATTTTCAAAACAAATGAAAGATAATTGTACGAAAACTAATTATATCAAGAATACGTTTAATATTTCAACTATATCGGTACATTAATCCTCGGAATTCATGATAAATATTTTAGAAAAACTATTTCGAGAATAAGGCGTTTAAAATTTCGAACACGTTTCAAACTTTAAAAAGGAAGCAACGTTTGTTGACTGTCATGAAACTTTAGTAGAAAATAATTCGTTTACTAATGTTGTAGGTAATGTGATGTATCTAAATAATTTTGGTAGTAGATTTATCATACAGAAATAAGAACAGAAGTTCAAATAGAAAATATACTTACCTGCTGCTGTAAAGTTTAGTAGATATCTCAAAGTGACACCGTTGTAAAGCCAACAATTCCCTGTGCCTGAACACGTTTTTCCCCACACAAGACAGGTTTTATCTAGAAGGAAATATATTTCCATGAATTATACGAGTGAATTAAATGCGAAAGAAGAAATTCAAAATATATTATTTCTGAATTGTTGGAAATACATATAACTGAAAAACGAATTAATGAATCTTACAGATATTTTGAATCTGCGTAAAAATATCAAATACTGTACGATTAGTACAATATGTTAAGCAATGCAATTACTGTTGCAAACATAAAAAGTACAAGAAAAGTATTCGGATGAAGTTTTTTGAAATTATTTAGTACTTTCTTAGAAATTTAATGTTCTATGTGAGTCTGCCTTTATTTTTAATTTTTCAAAACACTTTGTTTGCAATTAATTGTTTAAATTTAATCAAAGATTATGCTATAAATCTTCCAAGGTTTTTTATAACAATTACACGAATCAACACATAAATGATATGGAAATATTATTATTAATATAAATGAAGTAATTTCAGCCGAAAACTATTATACAATTTATGAGCTTTAAATATACAATTGATAGAATCAATAAAACGAAATTTATAATCTGTTAAAAGATTGACAATTATACGTTTTGCTTTTTTAAAGAGAAAACTCTTTTAACTTTTACGTGCAGTATAAATTGTATTGAAATTATTATTACTTGAAGAGTAAAATCTTATTATATTTATTTAATTTTATTCTTATGAACTATCTCTATTCAGGTATTTTAATTTGATAATCACTTAATTATTTAATTATTCGATAATTAATAATTACGTATCTGAATTTAATAAGTCTGCAGACTCCTCATTCCAAATATATTTAACCAATTTTAAATTTCTTTGATGTCAGAGACAAATTCTTATAATATCATTGCATAGATTACTTGCAGGTCAAAAATTGAAATATAAGATTATAAAGTAAATAGGGAACACCACTCAAAAAGACAACACACGGAAGAAGTACTATAAGAATATATATACTATATAACAGTATTAATTATTAAGTATGGACGTAAATTTAACCTCTAAGTATGGAAGTCTGAAAATTAGCGATTAATGTTAAGTATTCTCGTTTGTAGCAATTAATAAACAAGTTTATTGTATTTATTCGTTTTTACTTATTTAACATGAAAACTATCAGACGCCTCAAAATGACCCATTCCTGATTTCTTCTTCTTGCAATTATTAAAAATATAAAAGATGTTTCGTTGAAAAGTTATTAAAGAAACTAATTTAGCAATGCGCAACCTGAATTGAAAATCAATTAGAGTCTCGATAGATGCACTTTTGGAGTTTCTATAGAGGATTTTCAAAAAGTCAATTCAACTGCTCGGTAGTTTAGTGTTAAATATCTCTACATAGCAATAGTATCGACTATGTAACAAAAATATCATTGATTTCAAAATTCACGATGTTTTATATAGAGGTCTGTGAGACTGCACGCTCCTATTTAGTGTTAATGTAAACATAAATTTCTCATGATTCTCATTTTTGAATTCTCATGAAAGAGATTTCTCGTGATTTCCAAGAAAAATTCCTTACCCAAAATAAATCCAAACAGAATAGGAGACGGTATGAATGCGAACAAGCTCATAATAGTCAATCCAAAGCCCATGGCCACCGTTTTATCTTTTTCATCGACGCATCTGACGGATACCAAAAAGTTGGAAGCTCTTCCTGTAGCACCGCTGAACTTAAGGAGACAAACCACAGCCAGAAAGACGTAAAACTTGTGCATACAATCCACCGGGCAAGCACCTGGAATCGCGGTGCCTAAACTTGGAGACACGTCGGGCTCTGTGGTCTCAAATGGAATTTCAGTTGTATACGCGAATGTGTTGTTTCTGTATAAATGTGTCAAAGAAGGTGGGAACTTCGGCTTGATGCAACTGCAGCCGGTGTATATCTTGCTGCCATTTCCCTGTACCTGAAAGAAAACGATCAAAACGATTCATTGGAATTCGATTGGTCTGTTTTATTGGTAATTATTACTTTCTACAACCTAATACATTTCCAAAGATATAAACTTTTTAAACAAAATTAATATGGTAACAAGATCTAACCATTAGATAAAAAATAAATATTGGGCTGATACAAAAGTTTTGACGTTTTTATCCTGTTCGCTGGATAAACCAACACTAAGTAAAAGCGAAGAAAGAAGTGTCCTTTATACGCGTTGTAATGGTTGATATCGGATGATATTTATTTCAAAAAAATTTTGTTGTTAACGAATTTTGTATCAACTCAGAATTTCTACTCTAAAAATGTTCAGTTTGAATTCAATTTTTTAAAAGAAAATATTTCAGGAACTAATTTTCCCCTACTTTATGAACCAACTTAGAATGAATGACTCACATCTAAATCAACGACTAACCATTTTCAATTTGGAACGTTAAAACAAAAAATTTTAGGTAAATTAACAAGGATATGTTAATCATATCCTTTATCTGTTCAATATTTCTCACGCAACAAACGAAATAAATTTTAGCTAAAAAATTAGAATATTGATAAAATTCTAAATATACCCAGTGGTTAATTTTTACGTATGTATCTTCCTTTGACACTATAACTACCACTAAAATTAATCTATCTATTTATCTCTCTATTAATATATCTTTTAAATAACTATGAATAACTTTAGGATTTCCAAAGTGGGTCAGTTTAGTTCACCTGATAATTCTCGTATTAACACGTTCCGTGCCACGGAAATTTCGGTTATATTTTGCTTATGGACTGTATTGATTTTTTAAATAAAATATTAAGTTATATTCAAGTTTTTGGTCATTTTTATATATTTTGATATTATTCCTTTATGTTTTCACTGCTTTGTAACACATACCACCATCCGTGACCATGTGTCCCTTAAAAATAATTTCTTAGAGAAATTGGTGTGTACCATATGTAGTACATGTGGCGCTGAACGTGTTAAACACTACGTAAAGGTATAAAAAAATATCGAACCCTCAAATGACGACAACCGGCGTGGCAAGCAGAAATGAAGGTTTGGCCGTCTTCTGAGCAGACTGGATTATAAGTAACATAGTCGCAGTGGCATTCCTCATTGCACGGGAGCAGAGTCTTCAATGCGCCATCGGATTGAACGGCAATTTGGTTGTCATTGGCGGAGCATCCGAGGAAAGCGTACGAGATCATTCCCATAACAGAAATAGCTCCCACCATCACATTCCAGGCAGCCAAATACCTAGCTTTCGGTTTGTACTTCGAAATGATCAAACCGGAGAGAAGAATTCCAAAGGCACTGAAGACCAGGCCGACAGTTCCGGTGATCAACGAAGAAACGGACGCCGACTGTTTGTACTGAGTTTCAATGTATTTTGGCATGAAGATCCAATAAGGCATGTAACCCATGAAGTAGAACACAGTTGCCAAGTTGTTGCACATTAACGTCGTATTCGTCAGCAGACGCTTAAACGTCCTGATCATGTCGGATAATGAGGCAGGCAATTCCGGTTCTTGATCTGCCTTCATGTTAGTCGCAGACTTGTTCCGTTCAGAGGCCAAGACTTTTCGGGCTGCTGCTCTGGGTAGAGTTTTTGGGAAAAGGGCGATTACGCTTGCAAAGATGAACAAGAGAATCGCTAGGATGATCCAACCGAGCCACCAGGCACCTAGCCACCTATTGTCGTTCAAAAGAATTCGTATAATTAATTGTACGTACATATTAGGTATTATACATGGAATAACTAACCCTTACATTCTCAAGATATCTTTTAAGATGAAACTACTGGAATTTATAGTGATACAAACATGCATTCACTGACTAAAAATTCACAGCATTCGAATTATACTGAGACAAAGAATATCCTGGGGAACGTCATATTAGACGATAATTAATTTTTTAGAATTTTACCCGGTTTAATTAAAAAAATTACGAAAAATGTAATGTCGTAAGTACAAAGTATCCTTTTTGGTAGTGCGAAAGTTAATTGCATGTATGCTTCTATAGTGTTCTGTAATTGGTGATAAGTTAAGAGATTGTTTTTAACGGTAACACAGATAAAAATTTCTTTATGGATAAGTTTATGGCAAGTTTTAGGACAAATGCATCTTAATATTTTTATACTCAAAATACACCAATCTATCGAAATCGAGCATAAAGAATTGGACATTCCATTTAAAAAACATAGGTGACCGTTATATCTTCTCTACGTCTCCACTTGCAAAAATACATTTATCCCATATTCTATAGTTTCTTCAACCTATAACTTTTGTAAGTAACATTTTGTCGTATTGGTTGAAATAACCAAGATATTTAAATGGACAGAGTCTGTGAGACACACTGTACTTGATCGATCTTCAGATGGCAAGTTAATCCCTTCCCCTACGCTTTGTTTCTCAACTATGATCGATACAACTACCTCGTCATTAATAATTTATTATGAACACAAGTTTTAGTGCTTATTCTATGTTTACGTTTACTCCAAAGGTTAACGATTGATAATAGAAAAGTTATATTTAATTTATATTTAAAAAAAATTAATAACATTTGGATTTCTCAAACTTAATTGAAAATTTTCATCACGCGTCTGACACGATATCGTAGATCGGGCAAACAGATATTCCATCCAAGAAACGTTTCTGCATGGAGTATTCAGCACTCAGGAGTATTAATTCAGGAGTATTAATCAATTTGTCGTTGATATCAGTGATAGTACCTTGGATCCTGTGTGGTAATCGTAGGCGTCAACGTCGGACTGATGTAAAACTTGAGGGCAAAGGAAGCCAAACCGTAACCGATCGCAGGTCCCAGCATCCTCAAGAAATAGGAGAAACTGATCAACGCTGGCGTCTTCGATTTTTGTATATTGTCGTCCATGTAAGACACTCCCAGAGTGTAATAGAGCGACCCTCCGACCCCGGACACCAGTTGCGCTATAAACAACAGGACTTGCGGCGCGAAATTCCCGTCCGCGTACTCGCACTCGTTCTCGCGGTTCTCCTTCCCCAGACATAGGAACTTCCGGTGTTTGTCAGGTACATGACTCGCATTTACGGTCTGTGGTTTGGCTCCATATTCCTTGGTGAGCAAAAGTGCATCCTCTCCCGGACCATACAAGAAATGCGGCAGCATTGTGAGACAGCAAAAGAGGACAACCTTAGACAAAGACAAACAAAGCAATTATTGACCCATCGATCGATAAGGACGGATTTGCTGCTGTCGTCGCTTCACGAGATTATGGACTCGAATGACTGGGACGATTATAATGGTCAATGATTCTTGGGGAATGCGTGATACGGTTGATGTAGAATAAATGAGGAAAGGGGAATTTGTTTCTTTTTAATTATCTTGTGAATATTACCACTGTTACTTTTAATTACTTTCAAATGAATTTTAGGCTTTCTATGTATTAATCGTGTGAAATATTGTTTATTTTAATCTTTTCAGTTGAAGATAGCTTTTCCGAGAGCAAGATAGAAATATCTGAAAAATAAGCAAAATTTTAATAAAAGGCATTTTTATGGGCATTTAGAGAAGGAAATTTTGTTTAGAAAACTGGTAAAGATATGCAATAAGTTTATAGTTTGCAAATAAGGATAAAGTTCTGATAAAATTCTGGTATGAGAATATAATTATTTAAAAAGTCGAGATTTCAAATAGGCTTGGTTAAGAAAATTTATTTTGAAAATATGAATGATATCAAGCGTAATATAAATAAGAATTATATTGGAAACGTTAAAAAGAATATAAAAAGCTGAACATTCTAAGACGCAAACTATTTTTTGTACAATATTGATTGTCCATTGATTAAAACAATAAAGCTTACCATACATTCAATATGGATAACTTAATTGCTGTCAAACTCGAGTGATAGTTATATTACCAGATTTTAAGTTCCAAAATAAAAATTGTTGTCAAGTCTTTCAAGGAAGACGAAAATTAAAGTGAAAATGTTTAACATTTCTAATATTTGTTTGTCCCCGAATTCAATCATAAAACCCATTCAGAAATAAAGTTAGAACTCTGTCAAAGTCGCTGCAAATGATTGAACAGGACACGAAAAAGATTCGACATTGAATTTTCATTTAAAATCATATATATATATAAAATTTATATATATATATATATATATATATAAAAATATAATACACAATAGTGTCATAAGAAAA